GGAGACCAGGAGAAGCACCTGGCTCCTGCCTTCGGATCAGCGCGGTGCGCTGGCCGCAGCGGCCATTGGAGGGTGAACCAACGGCAAAAGGAAGACCTTTCTCTCTGTCTCTCTCTCACTGTCCACTCTGCCTGTAAAAAAAAAGGACTGGACAAATTTTACCACCACACAAATTACTCTGGAGTCACAAAGGGAACCACAGAAGCTGGAAGGCATAGTCCATGATCACCTAATCCCATGATTTATCTTAGTTTTACTAATAATGGTGCGGATATTGTGCCTTCTGAAGTGATACAAAAGACAGTAGATGCACAGTTTCTAGGACTTAAGGAGACGGAAGAGGGGTTAGGGAGGGGCTGACAGCTGAAGCACAGCCTGTCTTCTTGGGGTGATTAACATGTTCTAAAACTGTGCTAATGGCTACACAGCTCTATGAACATATAACAACCAATTAACTGTAAACTTTAAGTAGGTAAGGTGTTTGGTATGTGAATTATATCTCAATGAAGCATAACTGCTCCAAAAATCATATGCAATTACATCCAGGAAAAAGCATCTGCAAACAAAATGAAGAATATAGCATCTACAGCAAAAATGGGGGAGGTGTTAGAGAAAATATCAAGGGGCCAGCCAGCATCGTGGCACAGTGGGTAAAGCCACTGCCTGCAACACCAGCACCTATATCAGAGCACCCGTCCTGCTCCCAGCTCAGCTCCCTCACTACTGCACTTTTGGAAAGCAGCGGCAGATGACTCACTCCAGTGCTTGGGCTCCTGCTACCCTCATGAGGGACCCTGATGGAGTTCCATGCTCCTGGCTTTGGCCTGGCCCAGCCCTAGCTGTTGTGGCCATTTGGGGAGTGAATCAGTAAATGGAAGAGATCTCTTTCTCTCTCTCTATCTCTCTTTCAAATAAATATAAAAACATGTTAAAAATGTCAAATAAAAAATTTAAACATGGACTATAGGGTAGGCGTTTAGCCTAGCAATTGAGATGCTTATTAGGATGCCCACATCCTCACTGGAGCACCTGGGTCTGATTCCTGACCCCAGATTCCTGCTAGTGCACACCCTGGGAGGCAGCAGAGATGGCTCAGGGGATTGGGTTCCTGCCACCCACACAGAAGACCTGGATTGAGTTCTAGCTCTCAGCGTAGGCCCTGCCCTTTGTGGGCATATGGGGAGGGAACAAGCAGATGGGAGTGATCTCTCACTCTATCTTGCACAAATAATTTTTTTAGTATTTTTTTTTATTTGACAGGCAGAGTTAGACAGTGAGAGAGACAGAGAGACAGACAGAGAGAAAGGTCTTCCTTCCATTGGTTCACCCCTCCAAATGGCCACTACGGCCAGCACACTGGGCCGATCTGAAGCCAGGAGCCAGGTGCTTCCTCCTGGTCTCCCATGCGGGTGCAGGGCCCAAGCACTTGGGCCATCCTCCACTGCCTTCCCGGGCCACAGCAGAGAGCTGGACTGGAAGAGGAACAACTGGGATTAGAACCCGGTGCCCATATGGGATGCCGACACCGCAGGCAGAGGATTAACCAAGTGAGCCACGGTGCTGGCCTCTATGCACAAATAACTTTTTTAAGAAATAAAATGTAAAGTATACAGAAAAACATACTAGAGAAAAACAAAGCACTCAAAAATATCTTCTTCCTTCATCCACTTTAGCTGAAAACAAAGATTTCCATAGTATCAAAAATGTGGCATATTGATCAAAAAGTTTTATATGCTGAGAAATTGTTGGTCTTATACTGTATCAAAATTTAACTACCAAAACATTTTGTAAAATTCTGTTTTTAATGTTATATCTCAGAATTTGATGTACAACTTCATCCTTGACTTTGATGGAATATTAACACTCTTTCACTCAAAATTCAGCAAAAATGTGTAGTAGGTGCACCTGCATTTTAATGGTCTCATCTTTTGCAGTGAGAAAAATAGGTTTGGGGGGCCGGTGCTGTGGCATAGCAGATAAAGCCACCACCTGCAGTGCCGGTATCCCATATGGTTGCCTGTTCGAGTCCTGGCTGCTCCACTTCCAATCCAGCTCTCTGCTATGGCCTGGGAAAGCAGTAGATGGCCCAAGCGCTTGGGCCCCTGCACCCATGTGGGAGACCTGGAAGAAGCTCCTGGCTCCTGGCTTGGATTGACGCAGCTCCGGCCGTGGTGGCCATCTGGGGAGTTAACCAGCAGATGGAAGACCTTGCTTTCTCTCTGCCTCTGCCTCTCTGTAACTCTGCCTTTCAAGTAAATAAATAAATCTTTAAAAAAAAATATATATATATATATAGGTTTAGTTCCCCATGCTTATGTCTTTTGTATCTCTCCTTTTTTTTTTTTTTTCATCTATTTCCCTTCTTCTGGAATCTTTATCTTCCTCAAGACCAGTTGAGCAGGAAGATATCCACTATTTCAACCAAGAATGGGACATCATTTAGCAACACAACATCTGTCAGAAAAGGAGCCATGAGTCTAGAATGAGTTGTGCTGTCATCAGTAAAAAAAAAATAAAAATAAATTGAGAAAGAAAGATATAAGGAACTTCTGAGTTCCTGAGAGAGCCCAGGGCAGCTGCTCTATTTGTGAGTGATCTGCGTGCAGGGACAGGAGCCACTCTCCTCTTATGCAGAGCCCTGATTGGGATTGCTTTAAGACTCTACCCCAGGGGGCCGGCGCTGTGGCACAGCAGGTTAAAGCCCTGGCCTGAGGCGCAGGCATCCCATATGGGTGCCAGTTCTAGTCCCAGCTCTCCTCTTCCAATCCAGCTCTCTGCTATGGCCTGGGAAAGCAGTACAAGATGCCCCAAGTCCTTGGGCCCCTGCACCTGCGTGGGAGACCTGGAAGAAGCTCCTGGCTGCTGGCTGCTGGCTGCTGGCTGCTGGCTTCGGATCGGTGCAGCTCCAGCCGCTGTGGCTATCTGGGGACTGAACCAGTGGATGGAAGACCTCTCTCTCTGTAACTCTTTCAAATAAATAAATCTCGAAAAAAAAAAAAAAAAAAAAAGACTACCCCAGAACCACAGGAATTCACCTGTGACTAGGCAACACTCCAGAGACCTGGCTTCTAAATCCTGGCTCCAGGTCATGCCCCTCAGACACTTTCACAGGCTCTGCTGAGCCCAAGACACCCTGTGCCTGGCTCCCACCCCCAGCCTCCATGATGGCACCCTCCTGGGCTGAGGCCAAGGCATGGGAGGACACGGTGCTCCCTGTCCCCATTGCACATGTGGGAAGGTCGCCCACAATGGGGATACAGTTTCTGCCTGCCAGACTGACACAGAAGTCATGTTTCCAGAGTACCTAAGACATTTTCTCAAAAATATACAGAACTGGTTAACAGGATGACATTCCTTCCTAATGAAACAAGTATTTTTTTCTATTATTTTCCCTTTTTTAATCTTCCCATTTAAGCAATGAGGCTGTTCTGTTCTCATTGCCTCAAGAAAAGTATAAAAATAGACTTTTTTTTTAGGACAAGCATCTTCTTTGTGGCATTTGTTTTCATAACTGTGCCCTTATGAAGAAAAAGGACTCATACCTCATACTCAGATTTGGAAGGACTTCGTAAAGGAAGTTAAGACGTCCCCCAAAGTCCAAGGCCACAGCTGAAACTTCAAAGAGACACATAGCCTGCATCTAGTGAACTCTTGACTTGCATCAGTTGCTCTAATACCGGAACCCTCTGACTGACCCACAGAAATGATGCTTCTTTGCACGCCATGACTTGGTCCCCATTTGCGTTAGCCTGCGTTGAATTACTGCAATAAAACACTTGAGGCTGATACTTGATAAAGAGGGTCATTTAGCTCACATTTTGAAGGCTCAAGGGCATAGCACTGGGCCCTGCTGCGCTCTGGTGAAGGCCTCACATTAGATGGCATTACAGCCACCTGGGACAGCTCACGTGGCAAGGCGGGAAACCAAGTGTGACTGGCATGGTGGCAGTGGGGGGTGGCAAGAAGACCACACCAACCCCTTTCAAAGGCACGCCCCCAGTCATCTAAGCACCTCCCACTAGGCCCCACCACCACCTAGCACTGCCACATTGGAGACCAAGCTTCCAACGTGTGAAGCTTTGTGGGATAAACCATACTCAAATCCAGCAGATAGCACAGGTCAGCCTACTCTATGGGGATCCTCCCTACAACATCCAAAGATGAAGACAGATCCTGGACACAGCTGGGCAGAGTAGGGAGACAGGGCAACCTGAGCTTGAGAAACCTCCCCTGCCATGGGACGGGTGAACACTCCTCTACCTCCCCAGCCTCATCCAGCTGCATGGATTAAGTGATTCTGCAAAGCCACACCTTCCAGGAAACAGGAATGCTATATAGCTTACTCGAAGCGGAAAGCAGCCTATCTAAAGTGTGTTGAGGGCTCCTGCTCCCCACCCTGTAGTAGCCTCATTCACTGTGCACAGACTGGCAACTTTCCTCCCAGGCCACCTTGTTCTCATACAGTTGCACCCATTCTTTCAGCTTGTCTCCCATTTGCCTTGATTACTTCACCAAACTCTCTATCAAAGGAATCACATGAAAAATCAGTTACATTGGGGGAACCCAAAACCATATTTTAAGGCTACCTTTGAAGCCCATTCATAGAGCTGTCTTTAGAGGGAAGCAAGTAGACTTTGGGGGCAGCATCGTGGTACAGTGGGTTAAGCTACTGCTTGCAACAGTGGCATCCCATATCGGAGCACGGGTTCAAGTTCCTGCTTGTGTGCTTCTGACCCGGCTTCCTGGAAGGCAGTGAAGGAGGGCCAGTGTCCGCCGCATGGGAGACCTGAACGGAGCTCCTGGCTCCTGGCTTCAGCCTGGCCGTGACTCAGCTGCTGGCAACCATTTGGGGAGTGAACCAGCAAGTGGAAGGTATCTCCCTCCCTCCCTTCCTTCCTCTCTCTATGTGGCTCTGCCTTTCAAAAAAATACACAACTTTATTTTTTTATTTAAAAAAAAAAAGAGGAGTTCAAGTTTGAGAGGAAAAAATGAGGACTTCCTGTTTTGAAATTTTAAATCAGCCAAAACAAATTTTATTTTCTTGCTCTGGATCGTTGATCCTACAAATCTTGATCAATGTTTAATGCGACCTGAAAGCAAAATAAAAAAAATAATGCTTTAATACAATTAGGCCTGTGAAAAGATACAAGCCAAAGAAAACCATAGTTTGGGTCATTTCTATGTGACTGCATTGATGAAGCTTTTTAGGAATTTTTGATCATTTCGAAGAATATCCAAATAGAATGTAACCATAAATGATGTTTTCAGGTATCCATTATCCCAACGTTTCTTCTACTTCTGTTTTTGTGTGCTCTGGGTCAAATATGATATGACTCCTGAACTCACACATTTAATCCCCAGGGTCGTAAAGTAATGGTACTAAGAGAGTGGAAACTTAATCCAATTATGGTGTTTAGGAGTGGGCTAGGAAGCAGCCCTTAGTCATGGGGGGGGGGAGGTGCCCTCAGAATGTAGTTCATATACGAGAATTGGTTATAGAAGCCCAGTCAGGCCTAGCCACATGTCTGCCCCCTGACTCACCACCTGATCATCTTCCTGCATTGTTCGGACACTATCACGCTCTGGCCTCACCAGATGGCCAGACAAATGAGGAACACCTAATCTTGGTCTGTGAACCTCCAAAACCATGAGCCAGAATAAACTTCCCTCCTTCATAATTAGCTTATCTTGAGCATTTTCTTGTAGAAAGCTAACCTTTCATAACCTCCTTGTGGAGGTCCTCTTACTGTCCCTATCCCTACATGTGGAATTTCTGACAGTTTCCCTCTGAGCCCCCAACCTTCACACACCGTATGCTCTCCTTTGTACCTTGCTCACTCCCCTAGCTTGATTTAGCACGTATGCCCATAACTGCTGAATTCAGTCTCGCCTGGGCCTCTCCCTTGTCCTCCACACCCACACTGTCCACCAGCTGCTCTGTAGACACCCTCATCTGCATGTCTCAGAGTAACCTCAAAGTCAACATGTCCACCACCAAAGCCATCATTTTTTAAAAGCCTAATTCATTTTCCTACGTTTGTCAGCTCATCAAATGGTAATATCAATTGCCCAGGGGAAGAACTCTGGGCCTCCTCCTGCTCCCTTGTCTCCCCTGTTCTTGCAGCCAATTTCAGATTCACTCAGTTCTTTCTCCCTATGTCCGCTGTCCAACCCTGGTCACCTGCATCTGTGTGACCGCAGCAACTTTCTAGGTAGGGTTCCTTTCCTACTCCTGCCCCCCTCAGTCCTCTCGCCTTCCCATCTTACAGAGACACAGATCTCTTCCTTTTACTCTTTTCCAAAATTCCCACCACACTTCAGCTTAACATCCCTAACAAAACCTACAGCCCAGTGTGATCTGGCCTTTATCCACCGCTCCAGCTTCAACACACAATTCCCCGGGCTCCTGCAACTCAGCCATGATACTGGACTGCTACAGACCTTTGAAAGCGCCTTGCTCTCCCCATCCTCTGGGCTCCCCTCAGGCTAATTCCTTAAAGGTTGCTTCCCCAGGAAGACCCTCCCAGACCAGGGCAGGTTTCCCTGCTCTGTCCCTCACAGCACTTTCCAGTGGGCCACGGCCCCCAAAGGAAAGGCATTTTGTTCATTGGTATTGTCTGGCCCCCCGCATAGTGCCAGATCATAATACAAATTATTAATTAATTAATACACAGTGGCCCATTGACTATCTTTGAGTCCTGCTCCACCCTCTGAATGGTTGTCAAACGCCAGTCACTTCAGGCTGCCTACGTCTTGTCTCTCTAGATCACAACCACAGTCTCCCTACTTCAGCCAGATGGTCTTTTTAAAATGCAGTTCTGGGCAGCCCCTGGGGTGAGGACTGGCGGCGAGCGTCCATGAAAGGCTGTCCTGCACCACTCAATCTTGCACAGTCTGCCAGGGACGACCCCATGAGGTCCTTCAGAGGACACGTACATGTAGACAACATTCGGGTACCGGGATTCAAAGCAGCTAAGAACGTCTCTGCCAAGTCGACAAACAGCTCTCGTTAACCCTCCTCCACCAGGGTTTATGAACACTAAGAAAAACGGGCAGCTGGGGCCAGTGCCGTGGCTCACTAGGCTAATCCTCTGCCTGCAGCACCGGCACCCTGGGTTCTAGTCCCGGTTGGGGCGCCGGTTCTGTCCCGGTTGCCCCTCTTCCAGTCCAGCTCTCTGCTGTGGCCCAGGAGTGCAGTGGAGGATGGCCCAAGAGCTTGGGCCCTGCACCCGCATGGGATACCAGGAGGAAGCTCCTGGTTCCTGGCTTCGGATTGGTGTAGCGCCGGCCGTAGCGGCCATTTGCGGAGTGAACCAATGGAAGGAACACCTTTCTCTTTGTCTCTCTCTCTCTCTCTCACTGTCTACAACTCTACCTGTCAAATAAATTTTAAAAAAGAAGAAGAAGCATTTGGAGAACCAATGCCATGTTCTCAAATTGTTATTTATGCTGGCGCCGCGGCTCAACAGGCTAATCCTCCGCCTTGCGGCGCCGGCACTCTGGGTTCTAGTCCCGGTCAGGGCGCCGGATTCTGTCCCGGTTGCCCCTATTCCAGGCCAGCTCTCTGCTGTGGCCCGGGAAGGCAGTGGAGGATGGCCCAAGTGCTTGGGCCCTGCACCCCATGGGAGACCAGGATAAGTACCTGGCTCCTGTGGCCATTGGAGGGTGAACCAACAGCAAAAGGAAGACCTTTCTCTCTGTCTCTCTCTCTCACTGTCCACTCTGCCTGTCAAAAAATAAAAAAAATTTTTTTTTTAAATTGTTATTTATATGACAAGTCTGGAGACGACCCTGCTCTTACGGCACAAGCTCTAGAGCAGCTTTGGTGCAGAAAGTGTCTCCAACGCCACAGAAGAACCGGTTGTGGGCGGTAAGGCCAGAGTAAGGCAAGGCACTCCGCAGAACGCAGCAGTGGCTTCTATTAAAGGAAAAAATCCCCCAAGCAACAGAAAAGGTAGCCAAGCAGCACAGGACTCCCTCTGTTTCCAAACATCTACTTCTCCCCGACACACCACGCGAGGAGCTCCACCCACTTCTAGCTCACAAACCGTGGCCCAAGTTACAGGGGGTGTCGAGAGAAAAGCAGATATAACAACTCCACAGCTTCAGTAGTTAAAGCCAATAGTGCATCTTCTCCAAAACTTACAGGAAAAAAAAATCAGTAGGAATGCCACAGACAAAAGAAATTGTGCTGAAGAATATTTTGCCAGAGTCTCAGCAGCAATGTGAAGCTTTAAAGAGTGTTAAAGTAACCGAACAATTGAGGCACCGGAGTGAGGTTCTTAAAGGGGCACTTATCATATGCATGGCCCTTCTCTGATCTCTGTTGATGCTAATGCTTTGGGACTCCATAACTACCATGATATTGTCAAAAATCCAATGAAGCTTGGAACTATTAAGGTAACTGTTGTCCTAGCAGGTGGAACATCTCTTCTTGATGATAAAAGTAAATTGTCATTATAAAGAAATTTAAAAATGCAGAAAAGATTAATTTAAACCACCAGGAAAAATAAAATAGAATGCAGTTCTGACCATATCAACCCCTATACAGTAAAATATAAGCCTTGGAGCAGGAGCTGCAAGTTCTTTTACAGTCTGAGCCCTGACGCCTCCCTTCCTCACCTCTGCAGTCTCTCCTCCCTGACTCTCTACACCTTCTGTGCTCTCAGCACTGAGCTACGAATCACTGACTTCCCTCCCGAGTCCTCGCTGACCAAGGCTCCTCCACGCCTCTGCCTTTCCCACTTAGTGCACACTGACTACAGGAGCCAAACGCACTTCCCTGCCAGGACAGCGCTGGTTCACACCTGCTGATCGGGCTCCTTCTGTTCTCAAAAGCAGGCTGGTTTGGACAGCACATCGTCTTGTCACTCCAGTAAGCACCATTAAATACTCGTCCGATTTAACTGTCTGTTTCCCCTCTAGACGGCAAACTCCACAAAGAAATATCTACCACAGTCACGACTGCATCTGGCACAGTGGCAGGCACATGCAAGACTCGATATTTTTTGTTCAACTTAAAAAAGAACATTTATACTGTTGAAGCATACACTCACATTAGGATTTTATTTGTTCTGGGCTTTGCTACTGTAAACCAAAATAGTCTCCCCTGAAATTGAATATGATGTATTTCACAAAATAATTTTAAATACATATTTTGAAGAGGCTTTGAATTTTCCAAAGTCTAACTCCAAATATGCAGACAACCATGACTCAGCCATAGATACAGGTATATAGATAAACACAGATTTGAATATGCCAGTTACACGTTAGTTAGCAAAAGGGCGAAATGCCAGTTAGGACTATGGTCAGCAACCAGGCAGCTGGTTTTCTTCCTATGAAGCAAAAATCCATTTGCCAGCAAAGCTTGGCCTCGTTTGCGCTAGACTTTACCAAAGGGGGAAAGCATTGTTTTTAAGATTTAGATGCTTACATCAGACAGCATTGGTTCATCAAGTTCTTCCACTCTGCTCAAATTTGGTGCTCCATATCGATCGCTAATTTCAGCTAGGGTTTTGCCCGAGTCTAGGAGTGATTCCTGCACTCAAAAAAATCATCTTTACTTTTAAATCACTTCAAAATTAATATATTACTTTTCTTTCAATTTTTGTAAGAAATTTCTGAATTACAACATCAAAATTCAGCATTATTATTTAAAACAATTAACTAATACCTCTTAATGACAATGGAATTCTAGTAATAATTGCTAAAAGTACATGCACAAATTTAAAATATATAAGAAATATGGTGAATATCTCAGGATACTCTCTTTAAAAATACAAACAACAGGGCTGGCACTGTGGCACAGTGGGTGAATGCCCTGGCCTGCAGTGCCAGCATCCCATATGGGCACCAGTTCAAGTGCCAGCTGCTCCACTTCCGATACAGCTCTCTGCTATGGACTGGGGAAGCAGTAGAAGATGGCCCAAGTCCTTGGGTCCCTGCACCCACATGGGAGACTGGAAGAAGCTCCTGGCTCCCGGCTTCAGCTAGGTGTAGCTCCAGCCATTGCGGCCAAGTGCGGAGTGAACCAGCAGATGGAAGACCTCTCTCTCTCTCTGCCTCTCCTTCTCCTCTCTCTATATAACTCTGACTTTCAAATAAATAAATAAATCTTTAAAAAATACAAGTTGAATGCCCAATTTTTTCTATCCACTTTGAAATTTTGCTTCAAAGCACATCATATCTGTGACTTGTTATTACTAGAATATATATTTTGAATATCAATTGTGATAATATCCTTATTTAAAAGTTAGCTCCTAATGCATCAAAATTAAGCCTTACATGTCAGGAAACTCATTCATTTCACATAAAATAAAATCTTTTGCTTCTCACCTCTGAACGTAAACTATCCTCACCCTTAGCGATACTTTCCATTCTCATTTCCTGTAACAGATAAAATGAATACTTTGAACATACTTCATTTTGCTTCACATTAATTTCCAAGCATTTTTATTTTTACCAATGATATATTCAACCTAAAGCCAAATTCTATCAGTCTTTGAAGAGTGATTTGAATGTACTTAACACAAAATCACAGACCTTGACTTTACTTTTATTTTACTTTATTTTTTTATTTACTACTCTATAGTAATAGAAGATAACTATGTTTCATATATAATTAAATAAAACTTTTTTGAAAGACTATTTATTTCAAAGACAGAGTGACAGAGAAGAAGAGACAGTGAGACAGAAATCCTCCATGCTGGTTTACTCTCCAAAGGACCACACTGGCTGGGTTGGGACTAGCCAAAGCCAGGAGCCAGGAACTCCACCCTGGTCTCCCACACACATTGGCCATCTTCCTCTGCCCTCCCAGGCCATTAGCAGGAAGCTGGATCAGAAGTGAAGCAGTCAGGGCAGGCGCCACGGCTCACTAGGCTAATCCTCCACCTGCGGCGCTGGCACCCCGGGTTCTAGTCCCAAATGGGGTACCGGTTCTGTCCCGGTTGCTCCTCTTCCAGTCCAGATCTCTACTGTGGCCCGGGAGGGCAGTGGAGGATGGCCCAAGTGCTTGGGCCCTGCACCCCATGGGAGACCAGGAGGAAGCACCTGGCTCCTGCCTTCGGATCAGCGCAGCGCCGGCCGTAGCAGCCATTTGGGGGGTGAACCAACGGAAAAGGAAGACTTTTCTCTCTGTCTCTCTCTCTCACTGTCTAACTCTGCCTGTCAAAAAAAAATCTGCATGAAAACATGTTAAATGTAAATTATTGTTGCTAACACATCTAACATACTACTGTCTCAGAGATCAAATACCCTCAGTATTTCAAAGAACTTAATATATCTTCAAACAGAACATTTATAAAACTTCAGATTACCTTCTCCAGTTGTTCTTGAGCTCTCTGCAGTTCCTCTACTCTCTGTCTCTCCTTTTCTTGCATTTCCAACTCCAGCTGGAGCGCCAGCTGTTGCTGAACATTCAGAAATACATAAGTCAGATTACAGTCAGATTAAGTGCAAGGAATTAATACTGTAACTTTTAAATGTTCCAGGGTAATTATGTTATACCCACTGAAATTTCAGCAACTCACAAAAATAAATGGTCACAGTCACTTAATATTTTAGGTTCTACAAGTATTTCATGAAGTACAGGATTTTTTTTAAAAAAGAAGCTTTCTTAACTGCTAATTTTGGAAACTACAATTTGGACAAAATGAAGTCACTTCTTTGTTCTTGAAGCTACAAATGAGACTGCAGCAATTTCTCTGGATAAAATAAATGAATATTCAAATAGCCAAATCTTGGTTGCAGAACAGTAGGTGAGGAAATCTTAAGAATATTATCTGAACCGTGAATAACCAACAATATATGTTGCGCTAAAATTGGGGTCAGCAATACAATCTAGGGGCCAAATCTGACTCAAATTGTCCAGCCCATAAGCTAGGAATGGCTTTTACACCATGCTCATGTTCATCTTATTTGCTTATGTATGGCCTACAACTGCTTTTACTTCCAACAGAGACCATATGAGGTGCTAACATTGTTTTGCACGTCTGCTCAGTCCACTGGCTGCAAATCACAATGACAATGTTATAAATCAATGGGATTTGCAGGACCTCAGTATAACTAACATGCACATTTTTATTTTAATTATACCCATCAACCAAAACAAGAAAAGTGAACTCTGAACGTCACACTTTTAAGGCACAATGGAGTATGGATTATTCTGTTGTTCATTTTTACATTTATTTCATTGGGAGGCAGAGAGGCAGAGAGATAGGGACAGAGGTCTCCCATCTGCCGATTCAATTTCCAAATGCCAGGAACTCAATCCAGGTCTCCCACATGGGTGGCAGGGACCCAAGTACTTGAGCTATCACCTGCTGCCTCCCAGGGTACACATTGGCAGGAAGCTAGGATTGGGAGCAGGACCGGGACTTGAACCCAGGCACTCTGATATGAGATGCAAGCATCCCAAGCACAGTCTTCATCGCTACACTAAATGCCTGTCCCCTATTTTGTTATCAAATGAAACAGAAAAATATTGCTTTGGGGCCAGCGCTGTGGCGCAGCAGGTTAACACCATAGCCTGAAGTGCCGACATCCCATGTGGGCACCAGTTCGAGTCCCGGCTGCTCCACTTCAGATCCAGCTCTCTGCTATGGCCTGGGAAAGCAGTAGAAGATGGCCCAAATCCTTGGGCCCCTACACCCACATGGGAGACCTGGAAGAAGCTCCTGGCTCCTGGCTTCAGATGGGTGCAGTTCCCAGCCGTTGAAGCCAATTGGGGAGTGAACCAGCGGATGGAAGACCTCTCTCTTTCTCTGCCTCTCCTCTGTCTGTGTAACTCTGACTTTCAAGTAAAATAAATAAATCTTTTAAAAAAATATGGCTTTTATTATATAGCACTGTACTAAAGAATGTGGTATCAACATAAGCACTCATTCACAATATTCTCAACTCATATGAAAGCAAAAGCAATAAAAAGTAGAAAATTCAAAATAGAAGTATCCCATGTATTTTTTCACAAGATTTAAAAATGAAAAGAAGGTTGGAACCAAAGTAAATTTCCAAGTAACTCATTTGTTATCCAAGCAAGAAAAGACTTTTACCAATGATGAGTTAACTAAAACATGCTTGATGTTTTATTTCTCTGGCTGGAAAAAATACATGCACAAAGAATCAGCTTTTTTAGGAGTGTAGCCTTTTGGTGAGAAGAGTTGCTGGAATGCCTTGCCTGTCTGGATGATAGTTTTTACACCCCGTTCAATACTTTACAACTTCCCTTCCAGAATAAGAGAACTGACTGGAAATGAAGCCTCGAAAGCAGCGAAATTTATCCTAAGGGATCAAGGATGGCAGATTAGGCAGAGAGGCTATTTTATCAGGTCTCTGTTTTTCTTTTTATTCACACACACAAAGCAGAGGCCTTCTTTTCCAATTTTCTAAATGTGTGCACTCGAGTCAAGAACCTAGAGTGAAGTGTTAGATAACAGAACTGCCGATGTGGGTCACACTTAGTTCTAAAACCACTTTGGAACGCTCCCTAATCCACATTATACTCCGTGACCCACCCCTCCAACTATCCTCTTGCCAACATCTTCAGCTCCCCAATCCTGCCACCCCACACCTACTTCAGCCAAAGGGTCTACAACCTCAGATATGCAGGCCTAAATCGAGGGAAATCGGAATCACACAGCCTCACCAAACACCACCATTATGTGTGTTTGGTCTCCAACTGCTACCAGAGAATGCTAACTTTCGCTCTCTTCCATTCTCCAAAGCCACCATTTCAACCTTTGTCTACTCTCCACACACCTCCTGCTGCCCTGAGCTTCACAGAGGACCAAGGTCACTACTTCATAAAGAGCATAGGAACAGACATACAGACACTGCTTCCAACATTGTGCCATGAAAGCCACACGCTCACTCACGCCCATCCATCCTGCCCTCTTCCCTGGGTTACAAAGGTGTTCTCTCATCCACCTGTTTAACCCGTGTTCCAGGCCCCATCTCCCCTTATCTCCAAGGAAATCTGACTCTATGAATCACTCTGTCTCCTAATGTTACCACTTAAAACAACAAAAAATCTTATTCCTCAAAATCTCCTTGAAAATAATATTAACACGGGGCCAGTGGTGTGGCGCAGTGGGTTAACACCATAGCCTGAAGCGCCGACATCCCATGTGGGCGCCAGTTCGAGTCCCGGCTGCTCCACTTCCAATCCAGCTCTCTGCTATGGCCTGGGAAAGCAGTAGAAGATGGCCCAAGTCCTTGTGCCCCTGCACCCATGTGGGACACCCGGAAGAGGCTCCTGGCTGCTGGCTTCAGATCGGTGCAGCTCCAGCCACTGTGGCCATCTGGGGAGTGAACCAGCGGATGGAAGACCTCTCTCTCTCTCTTTCTCTCTCTGCCTCTCCTCTCTCTGTGTGTAACTCTTTCAAATAAATAAATAAATATTTAAAAACAAAAAGAAAAAGAAAACATTATTAACACTTTGCATCTCCCCTGCTTAACTGCTCCATCCCAACACTCCATTCAACACGGATCCTGAAAAATCTCTGGTGGCCTTGTGTGAGCGCTTTTCAGTTCAACAGCAACAGTGACCACTGGGGAGGGTCTCACTGAGGTGCTGAGACTGCACACTCTAGGTCTGCCTTTTACCAACGGGTACTGCTTCTCCAGCAGAAATGACAGAAACACAGACACAAAGCTGAAGATACCAGAAAGCCACGTGAGGCGCCAGAGCTGGTGGCAGGTTGCAGCGCCGGGTCATACCCCAGGGAGGAGGACGCTGGCAGTCATGCGCCGCCCGATCCTGCTCGTCTCACCTGCTGAAACAGGAGCTCCTCCGCCCTGAGCCGCTCCAGCATCTCCTGCTCCATCAGAGCTAACTCCCGTTCATGCTCCAGCTGGGCCATTTCCTTCTGTCTCTAGGGTTGTTTAGAAACAACAGCACACGACTTACCAGAGACGAACGATCTGTAAAAACAAGGCTTGGAGTATCTTCATCACCAATAGGAAAAGGATGAAGCAAGTTATAGTCTACCCATTTTGGAAACCATATAACATGTAGGGGAGAGGTATGTTTTCTTTGAATAGAAAGCACAAAACTGAAATAATTCAGAGAATGATGAAAAGCATATACAAGAAAATCTACAGGTTGATATACAGAACAATGACTATACATAGAATATACATAAAAATAAAAGTAGACATTTTCTTCAGATATCTTTTCTCCTTTCTATTTTTCCATGTTGTCCAAGTTTTTCTATAATAAACATTATGTTTGTAATAAAAAAGCAGTATTTAATTTTTTTAAAAAAAGCAGAGAAGTTTCGACCGATTATTTTACTCCTCTAAATGTCCTAAACAGAGCTCCATACCTACCAGTTCTTCGAGAGTCATATTTTCTTTATACTTGTAAATCCACAATGCTAAATATTCTATCGGATCCACCGGGCGAACTCTTGCCACTTCTGCAAGACCTTGAGTTAGGCATGCCCCAAGATGCTTCTGAAGATACAATGACTCCATTTCTAATGCATAAATTAAAACCTTTAAAAGAAAGTTTTGCATCAGTACAGGAAATTTTCATTGAAAGCACAATAAGAGGCAAGTCCCGTGAGGTCAACAAAGCATTTGAGCTGTCTTCCATCCTGGGGATGTCCCATTAGGGATGGCACAAGCAAGCTGGCCCCAGAAACTTCTAACATCTTCCAAAATGGCTCCACAGGCCACTGAAAGTAAAATAGTTTCAAAATCCCGAGAGACTCTCAAGTCTAAGAGTCAGAAAGGGGCACTCTCATGACTGGTTGCAAGGTGACTTTAAGCAATGCCTTTCTCACTTAATCCTCACAACACACCTGAAAAAAAATCATGCTCCTCACTGTGCTCACGGAGGGGAAAAAAACCCCAGCACAAAGAGTATAACAGCACAGCACAGGGTCACACAGCTGGCAGACGAAGCAGACAGGCTGTGCCCGCATCGTGATTTCAGAGCCTCAACCCTGCTGACTGTAATAAGATGTTCTCCTAAGCCATTTTTACAAAACATCACAACAGTCTACTTCTTTTTTAAAAATAACAATAATTGTGAATTTCCAAAGCTAGAGAATCAAAATTCACAATCTGGCTCCAAGTTTCTCTTCAGGCTCAGATATCTCTCCTGCTGCCAATATACCCTGGGGGTCTAACTTGGAGTTTTTCATCTCCATGGCTCCTGTACATGATGATCCTCTCTCTCTCTCTCTCTCTCTCTCTCTCTCTCAACTTGGAAACTATCTCCTTAATTGCAATACGAAGATCATTTCTCAACCCCTAAGGTTTCTCAGGCAACCCAAAGATATACCTCCTTTTCCAAATAACTCACACAGCCCTTGTCACACTACCTGAGAACTATCTGTGTGTGCATCTGTCTCTCCTCCCACTGGGAGACAAACTCCTCTTGCTGCTTAAAGAGTAGCCTCATCACAGAGCTATTCTCCCAGTAATGTTCCAGTCTTTTCATTTATGCAGACTTTTTCTTCTTACTTTTAAAGATTTATTTATTATTTATTTGAAAGGAAGAGTGACAGAGAGACAGAAAGATCTTCCAACCACAGGTTCACTCCCCAAATGGTGGCAACAGAAGGGTTGGTTCAGGCGGAAGTCAGGAACCTGGAACTCCATCCAGTCCTCCCATACGAGTGGCAGGGGCCCAGGCACTTGGGCCACCTTCTGCTGCTTTCCTAGATGTACTAGCAGAGAGCTGGATAGGAAGCAGAGCAGCCGGGACAAACCACACTCCAATGTGGGATGCACCACAACACCAGCCTAATGAACACTTTTTTTAAAAAAGGAAGAGGATATAGGCATTTGGCCTAGTGGTTAAGGCACTCACTCCTTGGGATGCCCACAACCCTGTGCAAGTGCCTCAGGTGAATCCTGGCCCCACTTCCAATTCTGGCTTCCTGCCAATTGCACCCAGGGAGGCATCAGTAATGGCTCAAGTAGTTGGGTCCCTACCACCCACTTAGGAGACCTGGTTGAGTTCCTGATTTCTGGCTTCAGCCTGTCCTAGCCCCAAGCTGTTACAGATGTCTCTCCCCACCCTCATCCCCATGTCTTAAATAAATAATAGATAGGCCAGTGCAATGGCTCAACAGGCTAATCCTCCGCCTGCGGTGCTGGCACACTGGGTTCTAGTCCCAGTTGGGGCGCCGGATTCTGTCACGGTTGCTCCTCTTCCAGTCCAGCTCTCTGCTATGGCCTGGGAGGGCAGTGGAGGATGGCCCAAGTGCTTGGGCCCCTGCACCCACATGGGAGACCAGGAAGAAGCACTTGGCTCCTGGCTTTGGATCTGTGCAGCTCTGGCTGTTGTGGCCAACTGGGGTGTGAACCAACAGAAGGAAGACCTTATTCTCTGTCTCTCTCTTTCTTACTGTCTATAACTCTACCTGTCAAATAAAAAAAAAATTTAAAACAGGAAGAGATCTCTAGAACACAGAATGAAGTGATAAAGAAGACAAATTGTACATGCCATCTTCTGTGTAAACAGCAGCAGTACAGAAAAAAATACACGTGTATTTATAAATGTAGTCATTAAAAATCAAAACTGGCACAAATGCACCTATCACGCTGATATGCATGTGCTAACCATACAAAGAAAGATTACACCTGAATCTGGAGCACAATACCTTCACTGCACTTCAGCAGGACAAACTCTAAAGATCAGACTACCACTAGCATCTCCATGGCGTTTGACATGAACATTACAAAAAAAAAAGTATAGGTGCCTGCATCATGACGAAACGGGCTAAGCTACCTCCTATAACTGCTGTCGGTTCAAAATTTGGCTTCTCCTCTTCTGATCCAGCTTCCTGCTAATGCTTCCAGGGAAAGTAGTGATGATGGCCCAAGTGCTTGGGTACCTGCCACCCACGTGGAAGACCCAGCTGGAGTTCCAGGCTCTGGGCTTTGGCTTGGCCCAGCCCTAGCTATTGCAGCCACTGGGGAGTGAACCAGCAGATGTCTGGCTTTCCCTCTGTCTCTTAACTCTGCCTTTCAAATTAAAAAGGGGGTTGTGGCTCCTGCTACTTCTCCCAAATGATAAAACTTTCCAAGGGGACCGCGATTCCTAAGGACCCAACCTCTGGCCTAAGAGTTGGGCCAAGTCCAGGGATGTCATCTCCCTAACATGTTTCCTGGACCGTAATACCCATCTCTCCTGTTGCAAGTAACATTATTTTCCACATACACCAACGGGCATTGTGGCTCAGCATAAGGCAGTCCCTGCCTACAGAAAACAGGTGCCTCCAGCCCCCAAGAAGCTATCACCAGAGACAGGAGAAGATCCCTACAGGCCAAGTGAGATGGGGACCCCAGCAAGGGTGCAAGATTGAGTAAATCAGGGTCCAGCATTGTGGTATAGCCAGTAAAACCACCAGGCGCCTGCAGCCCCTGCATCCTGGATACCGGTGCTGCTCCACTTGCAATCCAGCTCCCAGCTAATGAGTTTGGCAGCAGTGGAAGATGGCCCACGTCCTCAGCCGCTGCACCCATGTGGGAGCTCAGGAGGAAGCTCTTGGCTCCTGGCTTCGGATTGGCCCAGCTCCAGGCATTACAGCCATTTGAGTGAACCAGCGGATGGAAGATCTGTCTCTCTCTCTGTGACTCCGCCTTTCAAATAAATAAATCTTTAAAAATTTAGCAAATCGAAAGACAGCACACCCAGTTAAGCTGAAATTTCAGATAAACGGTGAATTTCCTATCATGCACATGTTTACTAAAAAGTAACTCTTAAGTGCACACTTAGGCGGCACGCAGTACTTTTTTCTGGCAACTGTGGAGCCAGGGCGCTGAGGCTGGCTTCCCCATCCTGGGTCTGCAGGTGCGGCTGCCCTCACCTACCATGCGCCGTGCTGCTCACCGCGCAGGAGGAGCAGGAACTGACCAAAGACTGGCCCAGAGGGCCTCCCAGGCCAGAAACCAAGCCTTCTGAGGCCTCAGCGTGAGTCCCGAGCGAGTCAGAAAGCCCAGCAGTCAGAACCACAGCCCAGCAGGAGGAGAGCAACGGTTTCTGCAAGCGTCCCGCGCCTTGCGCATGCGCCCTCTCCACCCGCCCGTCGCGTCCCGTTGCTGCGCAACGGGCGCGCAAGCCCCAGGGTCCCGGGAAAAGAGCAGGGCTCGCGGACAGGTGAGCAGAGGGCGCCTGGCAGTGGAGGGGGCGTGCACACGGAGAGGAAGGGGCGCGCGGGGGACGGCGCAGGGTGCGGGGCGGTGGGCGAGCCGAGGACACTTGCTGCATGAAAGACGTGAGGAGGGGTCCGGAAGAAGAGCGGTGGGACCCCGCGGCCCAGCAGGCAGGCTCTGCAGAGAGGAAGGGGCGGCGGGCTTTGGATAGGACGGTGCTACCGTGATAAAGGCCAGGTGGCTTGGTAGCTACAGTCCAACTTGAGGATTTTGTTGAAATACAAATGCTGGATCCCCACCTGGCGTGGCACTTGAGCATGTGCACGTCTCCAAGCCTCCAGGTGGCAGAATCTTGCTGGTCATCTGTCGTTAGAGCGCACTGTATGAGTCCAAGGAGCATAGGAAAGTATCCCCGCGCAGTGGGTCGGGCGGGTCCCAGATGGGCAGACGGAAGTATCACCGCCCCACCCCACACCAGTGCCCCACATTTGCAGTATTCAGGCGCAAATCTATCCTCTTACAAGTTTGAGGTCGGTCGAAACTGTGTGGATCTTGCTGAGCGAACCCCAAAGTGTCAGCAAGGGAGGTTACTAGTGGCGGCCTGAGGGAAGCATACATTTCCTTGCTTTTCCCGGCTTCTAGAGATGCCCGAGTCACACCGCCTGCTGCACCGTCTGCTCCATCATGCCGCCTTCCCTCTGACCGGTGTCTCCTATAAAGACCCTTGTGAATCATTGCCCCTACTTGTGAAATACACACACCTCCTGCAAGATTTTTTTTAAAGATTTATTTATTTGATAGGCAGAGTTAGAGAAGGGCAGAGAGAGAGAGGTCTTCCATCCGCTGGTTTACTCCCAATATGGCCATAACGGCTGGAGCTGTGCTGGTCAGAAGCCAGGAGCCAGGAGCTTCTTCCGGGTCTCCCAGGCAGGTGCAGGGGCCCAACACTTGGGCCATCTTCTATTGCTTTCCCAGGCCATAGCAGAGAGCTGGATCCGAAGAGGAGAAGCTAGGATATGAACCAGATTGGATACTGGCACCCCAGACAGAGGCTTAGCCTGGTATGCTACAACGCTGGCCTCATAGTTGACATTCTATTTTAAGAGAGAATTTTGGGGCTGGTGCTATGGTGTAACAGGTAAAACCACCGCCTGCAGTGTCAGCATCCCATACGTGCATCGGTTCCAGTCCCAGCTTCTCCACTTCCGATCCGGCTCTCTGCTATGGTTTCGAAAGGCAGCAGAAATGGCCCAAGTCCTGGGGCCCCTGCACCCGCATGGGAGACCCTGAAGAAGCTCCTGGCTTCGGATCAGCACAGCTCTGGCCGTTGCAGCCAACTGGGGAGTGAACCTTTCTTTCTCTGCCTCTCCTTCTCTCTGTGTGTAACTCTGACTTTCAAGTAAATAAATAAATCTTTAAAAAGAAAGAATTTGGGGGACACCTTTGGCAAAGTAGTTAAGATACCACTTGGGAAAACTCCATCCCCTACCCGAGTGCCAAAGTTTAAATTATGGCTCTGCTTCCAATCCAGTGTTCTGCTCACGCACACTCTGGGGGGTAGCACTGATATCTTTAGAGTTCAAGTCCTTGACATCTATGTAGGATACCCAGGTGGAGTTCCTGGCTTCTAGTTTGCAGATGACCCAGCCCAGGCTGTTATGAATATCTGGGGTGTGAACCAACAAATGGGAGGTAGTTCTCTCTCTATATACCTCCCTCCCCCTCTGCCTTTCAAACAAAAGGAAGGGGGGGGGAGGAAAGAGAATTCTGACTTCTCCATTCATCTACTAATTTGTTCTCCTATCAACTAGTAGACTCTTATTTTATTGTGTGAACCATGATCTGTGAACGTTGTCAAAGTCAAAATGAGTCACTTGTGTTGAGGGAGAGGGTCTCACGCGTGTATGCCCGGTAACAGGAACTGTCACAGAACCACTGCGGAGCCGCCACCTTGCTCGAAGGCCACCCCAGCCTTTACACAGGGCATCCTTTGCAGGGACTCCTGCCCAGCAGCTGCCGGTTGAACCTCGGCCTGACACCCCCCCTGCTGTGGATCCTTACAGCTGTGGGTTATTGTTGTAGAATAGCTTATGAAGTCCTCTTCAGTTTGCGTTTCTTCCCTGAATGAGCACACAGTTTACCATGGCAAATGCATTCCTATTGCAATGCTGTCTCCAAATAAACATATTGATTGCTGAAGAATCTCTGATTGTTTCGAACAAACCCATCATGATCATTATTTATTTTAGTGGTCAGAGTGTCCCAGATTTGGCTGATAGGACCCCCTTCGAGCCAGTTCCATTTTGTTTTGTAGAGCTTTCTTACTTTTAGGCATAACAAAATGTTCCAGGCCCCTCAGACTTTTCCTGCCCCAGCCTTGGGATCAGCCATTTCTCCAAGGCACCCGGGTGCCTTTTAAGGGAGGAAGGCTATTTAAAAACCAGTTCTGTGTGCTCAGTGGTTCCCTGTGCTCATTGCTACAGATACGTTTTGGATATATATATATATATATATATATATATATATATTCTTCCTTAAACTGAAAAATGGGAGGAGAGAGATATGAGGAAGGAACAAACTAAAAAAAAATGTTAAGACTTGATCTGAGTCTTTATTTTTTATTTTTATTTTTTAAGATTTCATTTATTTGAGAGGTAGAGTTAGAGAGAGAGAGAGAAAGGTTTTCCATCCACTGGTTCACTCCCCCAAATGGACATAATGGCCTGAGCTAGGCGGATCCAAAGCCAGAAGCCAGGAGCTTCTTCAGGGTCTCCCACGCTGGTGCAGGGGCCTAAACACTTGGGCCATCTTTTTTTTTTTTTTTAAGATTTATTTATTTATTTGAAAGTCAGAGTTACACATAGAGATAAGAGGCAGAAAGAGAGAGAGAGAGAGGTCTTCCATCCAATGATTCACTCCCCAGGTGGCCACAATGGCCAGAGCTGTGCGGATCCAAAGCCAGGAGTAGTAAAACACTGTACCAGGCTCAGTGCCTTATGTGTGTTTATGTGTCTGCTAGTCATTGTGAGGTACATGTTTCTGTTATTTCTCTCTACAGATGAGGAAACGGGGGCTCAGAGAAGCAGAGTGACTTCCTGAGGACCACACAGCTCACAAGCAGCAGAACCAGGGCTGGGACAGGGTCTGTCCGATCACAGAGTCTGTGTTCCCACTACTGTGCTTCACTGCCACTCCTAACTACGGTCTAACTGGGACTGCACTGCCTCCAGCTCTTCAAATCAGACCGATGGTAAACGCAAGGGGCTTCGAGCCAACCTGCAGCGGGTCCTTGCTTAAGCCCTAGAGAGCAAGCAGCGAGCCTGAGCAGCTGTACTTGCAGAGCCCAGCATTTTCCCTCCCTCTCCCCCCCAGGGCTTTTCCTGGTTCCTTATGAAATAAATGAGCCTAACTTTCCTATGTCAGAGATAACTGTAGCTTCCAGCCTCACAATAGCAGAGCTCAGAGCCCCTCCCAGGCACCTCCTGCCTGCTCAGGTATCTCCTACCTACTCTAGGGTAGAAATGTCTGGGTAAGAGGCTGGCGCCGCCCTAAACCCCCAGCGTGTGAAGCCATTCTCAGACCTAAGGACCCTCATGATCTATTGTCTGACCAAGTACAACTGGAGCATTGTAGGAAAAATGTCCATTCGACTATAAGAGCTATCGGCAAGTATGTATTTATTGGTTCTTTTAGGAAGAGTAGGATCCAGGGACATCAGATTACAATTGTAAAATCGTGACTGTGTTTTGACATTTCCCAGGCCTCCGGCATGGAAACTGAATACCTGAAGAAGTGCTTTGGAAATTGCCTGGCCCAGGCACTGGCAGAAGTGGTGAAGGTTCGGCCCAGTGACCCGATAGAGTACCTGGCTCACTGGCTTTATCATTACCGGAGTATAGCCAAGGCAAAAGAAGAGGTGTGTGTGTACACACACTGGGTCTACCTATGGAGGGCTCAGCTTTCCTAGAGTAATTTGAAATCCAAGACTTGATGCTGCTGTTAGCCGGGGGGGAGTTTCTTGGTGTGTTCAGCTCGCAGGTATCCCTGAAGTGTGTGAAATCTGGGGCTAAAGAGGGAATGCGACTCAGAGGGGCGGTGGACTTGGGGTTAGAGCCCATGGCTGGCTCATGCTAGTCACAGGGGCCCAGGGCCCCGGTCTGCCCCCAGGGACCTGATTCAGCTCTGTCACCTCACCCCAGCACAGGCAAGAGAAGGTGCAGCTGAAGGAGGAACGTGACAGTGGCCTCGAGGAAGCGGACGTGTTAGACATGCTGAAGCAAAGGGAGGATCAGACCCAACAGGAGAGTGAGCAGGACCACACGGTACGGAGAGGAGTTCGGCATGGGCAAACGCACCGCCTGCTGGCAGAGTCCAGGAAATCCACGAGTCAGCCCGGCCACAGTGCAAAACACACCCGGGCTCCCCGCGGCCTACTGCGTCCTCTGTATTCACAGATTTATATAGAAGCCAATCGTGGTTTTTTTTTTTTTTAAGATTTATTTATTTATTTGAAGGCAGAGTTACAGAGAGGCAAAGAGAGAATGAGGTTTTTTTTTTTTAAGATTTATTTTATTTATTTGAAAGACAGAGTTAGAGGTAGAGACAGAGAGAGAGGTCTTCCAACTGCTGGTTCACTCCCCAGATGGCCACAATGGCCAGAGATGAGCCAATCTGAAGCCAGGAGCCAAGTGCTTCTCCTGGTCTCCCATGTGGGTGCAGGGGCCCAAGCACTTGGGCCATCCTCCACTGCTTTCCCAGGCCACAGCAGAGAGCTGGATTGGAAGAGGAGCAGCCAGGACTAGAACTGGCGCCCATATGGGATGTCAGTGCTTCAGGCCAGGGCTTTAACCCACTGCTCCATAGTGCCAGCCCTGAGAGAGTCTTCCATCCACTGGTTCACTCCTCAGATGGCCGCAACGGCCGGAGCTGCACCGATCAGAAGCCAGGAGCCAGGAGCTTCTTCCAGGTCTCCCATGTGAGTGCTGGGGCCCAAGAGCTTGGGCCATCTTCTGCTGCTTTCCCAGGTCATAGTAGAGAGCTGGATGGGAAATGGAGCAGCCAGGACTCCAACCAGTGCCCATATGGGATGCCAGCATTGCAGGCGGCAGCTTACCTGCTACACCACAGCACCAGCCCCTATAAACCAATCTTACAGACAATCCCTATTAATAAAATCCTTAGCAATAGGAAAAAGAAACAGTACAAGATTAATTCATATTAGATTTCAGGAACTATCTTTTATGTAACTTTTTTTTAAGATTTATGTATTTTACTTGAAAGTCAGAGTTACCAAAGAGACAAGGAGAGGCAAAGACAGGGCGAGGTCTTCCATCTGCTGGTTCACTCCCCATTTGGCCGCAACAGGCGGAGCTGTGCTGATCCAACTGGAGCCAGGAGCTTCTTCCGGGTATCCCATGCGAGTGCAGGGGCCCAAGGACTTGGGCCATCTTCTACTGCTTTCCCAGGCCATAGCAGAGAGCTGGATGGGAAGTGGGGCAACTGGGATTCAAACTGGTGCCCATATGGGATACCTGCTCTGCAGGTGGGGACTTTACCTGCTGTGCCACAGTGCCAGCCCCGTGACTGGTTTTAAAAATTGTGTATTTTAAATTATAACAAATGGGTTTTTTTCATCAAAAAACCCTTTGAACCCTTTTCAAAGATGATTCAAAAAATTTTTGGAAACCAAATATATTTGTAAGTGTATACTTCAGATATATAATATATAATAATTTATTTAGTGTTCTATTTATTTACGTGCCAAGCCCCAGTTGCCCTCTGTATGATGCTGTAGTAGTGGAAGTAAGTGGTGTACTTGGAACAGCTGAAAACAGCTCTCTGTTCATCCATCTGACAAGCCTATCTCCTAACTCCCACATTCTTTTCCACAACCTCCTGTAAATTGTCCTGTGCTACAAAGTTGGTGACACCCAGGTAGAGAACTGACTTAAGTGCAGCTTGATAGCTGACAAAGCTCTCATCGTATCCTGTGCCATAAGATCCTGAATGCAGTCCTGTGCATGGGAATCCAAAAGAGCTTCATCGTGCAGGTACCATTTGAGTCTGGCCCAGAAGAGAGCTGGCAGAGGCTGCCCTTGTATTGGTTTCTCTCCATTGAGAAGAGGCAGCTTTGAGTAAGTAAGCCCTCATTTTGACTCAAAGTCAGAATGCAATTCCTATTGTTTATAAAGATCTGGACCACACGAATGTTTTAGAAGTATGTTTTTAGAGAATCAATTCAAGTATTTGCAGCATAGATACAGCCCTGACGCCAGAAGGATCTTGGGGGTTGTATGAGTATTTCACAGCGCTCTCCGCAGTGTTCCACAGGTCCACTGCAGCATGGTCCCCTGGGACTTCCAGCAAAGATGGGGTGCAGAAGGCCAGTGGAGCTTATGTCCCCAAATCCCCTTCCTCAGCCAAGGGCTACAGTTCTACAGATGTTAGGTTTATTGGTATTGTCTCATAGCTCCTGAAGGCTTGGATCTTTTTAATATATTTTTTACTCTGTCCTTCCCTTTGGGTAATTTCTAATGAGCTGCCTGCAGTTTACTGGCCCTTTGTTTGCAATGACCAATATCCCACTTAGGGATTAAGTGAGTTTTTTCATTTCAGATATTATCCTTTTCCTTTCAAAAATTTCTATGTGGTTCTTTTTTTAAAAAAAAATTCCATTTTCTTGGAAATTTTCTCTGTTGATATACCCTAATTTTTACTCATTGTATCTATTGTTCCCACTTAAATTTTTTTCAAAGATTTATTTATTTATTTGAACGGCAGAGGGGCGGGGTCTTCTAGCCGCTGGTCCACTCCTGAATGGCTGCAATGATCGGAGCTGGGCCGATCTGAAGCCAGCAGCCAGGAGCCCCCTCTGGGTCCCCGACATGGGTGCAGCAGCCCAAGGATTTGGGCCATCCTCTACTGCTTTCCCAGGCCATATAGCAGAGAGCTGGACTGGAAGTGGAGCAGCTGGGACGTTCATTTGAGATGCCAGCGCTGCAGATGGCAGCCTCACCTACTATGCTACAGCTCTGGGCCCCTCCCTTAAGTTTTTGAAAATATTTGTAATAGCTGTTTGACGTCTTTGCTAATTCTATCATGTGTGTTATTGGTGGGTCTCTTTCTAGTGAATATTTTCTATGTAGATTAGGGTTCACATTTTCCTTCTCCATATGCCTAGTGATCGTTACTTTTATGCTGAACATCATAGATGGTGCTTTGTAGGGAATCGAGATTCTGTTGCTTTCCTTTAAAAGGTGTTGAGATCGTTGTGGAAAACAACTAGATTATGGTGAATCACTTTGATCCATCAGGTCTAGTTTTATACTTTGTTAGAAGGGGCCTCTTTCAATTTGTTCTTAGTCTTAGGCATGAAAATAGCAATCTCGTGCCATTGCCCTACCTAGAGTTTTCATCTCTCCTGACAACCTTTCTGTTTAGGAACCGCTTTCTGCAAAGAAGGCCATATTCACGCGGGAAGACACGAAGCTGCTTGAGAAGGAGGCCTCAGAGCAGGAAGCCCTGCCCAGTACTTCCAGTGTGATTCTGGGAATGCCTTCCACCGAGTCAGCTGGCCAGAGTGACCGGAACTTTGAAATGCCCTAAGAAATAAATTACCAGGGAGTTTATCGGCATGAACTTGCTGACTCCTGAATCCAAATATCCCTCTTAGATTTTCAGACACTCATAATTCTGTTCCCTCAGCACATCAGACCAAGAGAATGGCCAGCTTGAAGAGCTCTCACTTCCACCAAGATTTGAGGGCCTATAGAAGGAGGCATTTGCAGAAACCCTACAACCCAATCCCATTCTCATAGCTAAGAAAACTCCAATCATGTGAAGAATTGAACTACTTATAGGATAAAATGAACTCAGAATAAAAATCTAAAATAATGTATGTTTCCAGGTTTTTCTTTTTTTTTTACATTTTCCCCAATTGTTTTCTTGTGGTGAAACACATACAGCATTAAATGTACTGTATTAGCCATTCACAAATGTGTTGAGAATGTCCACTTCACCTTGTTGGGCAGCCATCACCACCAGTCAGCACCAAACGGTTTTCATCTTGAAAAGCTTAATATGAATAAATTCCCAGTCTCTCCCCTCTCCCAGTGCTGAAAACCACCACTCTACTTTCTGCCTCTATGGTTTTGACTATTCTAATACTGCATATAAATAGAATTATACAGAATGTGTCTTTTTGTGGCTGGCTTATTTAACTCAGCATGTCCTCAAGGTTCATGCATGTTGTAGCACTGTGGGGAGCAACTGAGACTAGACTAAATTACTGGAACTAGGACTAATTCTATGCATCTGCTCTCCCACAATATGGCGCTGAGAGAGAGACCAAACAACCTCTACGCAGCTGCCTCATCAGTTTGATAAGCTGCAGGAGCTGATCCTGCTCCTGATTGGAGGAGAGCAGCGTGCTTGGTGTGTGGGTAGCAGAGTTGGGACTGGTGGAAGAGGACTATAAAGGAGGAGAGAGACAACATGCACCAGGAACATCTATCTGGAGGAACATCTGAGCAGCCCCCGAGAGAGCCGGCCGGCGGTGTGCCGCTCCTCCGAGGAAGCGGGGAAAGCGGCAGGGGGTGCCGCCCCTCCACGGAGGTGGAGGGGCCGGCAGCTAACCCGGGATGGCGTCATTCCTCCGCGAGTGAGGGACCAGCAGCTAACCCGGGAAGAGCCGGGCAAAGAAAACAGCGCAGGGTCCTGTGTCGTTCCTCCGCAAATGGGGGAGCGACATAGCACATGTCAGAATTTCCTTCTGTTTTAAGGTTAAATGATCTTGTACTGAGGTCAGCATTGTGGCACAGCAGGTTAAGCTGCTACCTGTAATGCCAACATCCCATATGGGAGTGCCAGTTCAAGTCCTGGCTACACTGCTTCCCATCCAGCTCCCTGCGAATGTGCCTGGGGATGCAGCAGAAGATGGTCCAAGCACTTGAGCTTCTGCCACCCAGGTGGGAGATCCAGATGTTGTTCCTGGCACCTCCCTTTAGCCTGGTCCAGACCTGGCTGTTGTGGCCGTTTGGGAGTGGTCCAACAGAAGGAAGATCTCTGTATCTCTCTCTCTCACTTTGCCTTTCAAATAAATCTTTTTTTTTAAATATTGTACCGTATGTATAGACCACATAGAATACAATAGTCTCTGCATTTAGCTAACACACTGTGCTTCTGCAGTCTAAGAACTGAGAAGGGAATTTGGTCACTGACAAGGTGAAGTGTTGGAGCCGGGGAATTCAAGATGGCTGGCAGGTTTCTGGCCTGAGCCGGTGGGGGGATGGGAGGGCTTCTCCTGCAGTAAAGGACAGAGGAGGAAGAGCAGCGTGAGCATGCTGAGTATGTAGTGCCTGGGAAGGCCAAAGACCCCGGCTCAGCCCTGGGTTCCCTGCAGGATGCCAGAGAACAGCAGAATTTTCTGTTCGTCGTCTGAAGGGGCCTCAGAAGGTTTGTATTTCAACTCTGCAAATGGCAAACAGTTCATTTCCAAGTTTAACAAATTTTAAATATATGGTAGATTGTCAGAGATAGTCAGGCATTGGCTTGGAAGAGCATCACTTTGGTTTTCTTCTATTCCATAAATAAGTTTGGTTTTTTAACTATGGTTTAAAGCCTATTTGTAAAAAATATTTTATTTTATTTGAAAGGGTTACAGAGAGAGCCAGAGAGAGAGAGAGGTCTTCTATCTGCTGGTTCACTCCCCAAATGACTGCTACAGCCAGAGCTGCACTGATCTGAAGCCAGGAGCCAGGAGCTTCTTCTGGATTTCCCATGCAGGTGCAGGGGCCCAAGACCTGGGCCATCTTCTACTGCTTTCCCAGGCCATAGCGGAGAGCTGGATCAGAAGTGGAGCAACCGGGACTCGAACCAGCGCCCATATGGGATGCCGGTGCTACAGGCTGGGACTTTAACCCACTGTGCCATAGCGCCATCCCCTAAAGCCCATGTTAAAGTGAGTATACATTACCCCGTGGAAGCTTCAGGCCAACTTGGGTTACAAAGCTATTATAAATATTACTTAAAATTATTTTCAAGCAATGCAGATGCTGGGAAGCAGGAGGTAATGGCCCATATGGTTGGATCCCTGCATCCATGTGAGAGACCTGGATTGAGTTCCTGACTCCTGTCCTCAGCCCTAGCCCAGCCCCAGCCCAGCTGACCTGGAAGAGGAAAATACCCAATTCTAGTAAGCTCCAGTCGTTTAGAATGGAACTGTCCAACTCTAACACACTGTTGCCATTCTGTCCTATCTAAGGAAAGAGGAAAACTGAAAAACATCCGTGAAATTCACAGCCCAGAGGCATATTCTCACTCACTGAGACACTGAGATCTAATCAGGACTGTCGAACACTGCCCCTCCCTCCATACCTTGCCACCACATTACAGCAGTTCTTTTTATCTGATACATCATGTCTAGCTGTCCAGAAAAAAATTACAGTGCACCCTAAGAGGAAAAAGAAAACAATGTGAAGAAACAGAGCAAGCATCAAACAAGGCATGGCATGAATTTTGGAATTGTAAGATTGAGAATTTAAAACAACTATGATTATTACGATAAAGTTTCCAATGAACAAAGTAAACAGCATGTAAGAAAAGAGAGAGAATGTAAGCAGAGGCAGAGATCTGAAGAAAGAACCAAAAAGAAAGGCTGCAGATCAAATGCACTGTAACAGAAATGATGCCTGTGATGTGCTCACTAGTACACTGAGCGTGGCTGAGGAAGGAAGCTCCAATTCTGAAGATATATCAACAGAAACCTCCAAGACTAGGAGGAGAGAGAGAGAGAGAGAGAGAGAGAGAGAGAGAGAACAAAATATCCAAGGGCCATGAGATAACTACAAAGGGTATGATTATGTGCAATGGAAGACCAAATGGAAAAATAAAGGACAAAAGAAAAACTTGAAATAAAAATGACTGAAAATTTCCCCCAATTAATGTCAAAAACCAAACAAGACACAGCAATGCCAAAAAAAAATTCTTTAAGTTAAAACCCTACTCCTAGCCATTTCCTTTTCAAACTACAGAAAGTCAAAGCTAGCAAGAAAAAAATATCCTGAAATAATCCAGAGTTTAAAAAAAAAAAAAACTCCAGGAGTGGGCAGGTAGCACAGTGGTTAGGTTGCCAGTTGGGACGTCTACATCCCATATCAGAGTACATGGTCCAAGGCCCAGCTGCTCCTCATCTCACCCAGCTTCCTGCTAGTGTGCACCCTGGGAGGCAGCAGGTGATGGCTCAAATACCTGGGTCCCTGCCACCCACATGGAAGACCCAGATGAAGTTCCAGGCATTTGGGGACTGAGCCAGCAGGCAGAGGAACTCTCTCCATATGTCTATATTTTTCTCTCTCTCTCTTTCAAATAAAATGAAAATAAATAAACAGAACATTTTTTAAAGCTAAGCTTTGCTTTAAAGACATCCTTGCCTATCCAGGAACAAAGACAAGAGTTAGGTCTGACTTCTCCTCAGAAATCATGCAAGCAAGAAGTGAGTGGAATGAGACATTAAAGTGTTGATGGAGGGGCCAGCGTTGATGCCTGTGATGCCAGCATCCCGTATTGGAGCATCAGTTGCAGTCCTGGCCAGGTCATACAGTAGTTTTATTTTTAATTTTTAGAGAAATTCCATATAGTTTTCCATGATGACTACTAATGTACCTACCCATTTAATAGTGTGCAAGGATTCTCTTTTTTCCATATTCTCACTAACACTTGTTATCTTTCATCAGGCAGTGACTTTAAATATAACACCAAAGACAACCCATGAATGAAATAATTAATAATCTTGACTCCTTTAAAATTAAAAACTCCTTCTCGTTGAAAGACAGTGTCAACAGAATAGGAAGATAAGTCACAGACTAGGAGAAAATGTTTGCATAGGATGCATCTGATAAAAATGTGTTAACCAACACGTACCAAAAACTCTTAAAATTCAACAATAAGAAGACACAAAATTCCATTTAAAAATAGGCCAAAGGGGAAAAAAAATAGGCCAAAGACCTCACCCAGGTGACAAGCAAGCCTACGAATATGTGCTCCATATCACATGTCATCAGAGAAATGCAAATTTTTTAAAACTTTTATTTAATGAATATAAATTTCCAAAGTACAGCTTATGGATTACAATGGCTCCCCCCCCCATAACTTCCCTCCCACCCGCAACCCTCCCCTTTCCTGCTCCCTCTCCCCTTCCATTCACATCGAGATTCATTTTCATTTCTCTTATATACAGAAGATCAGTTTAGTATACATTAAGTAAAGATTTCAACAGTTTGCACCCACATAGAAACACAAAGTGAAAATACTGTTTGAGTACTCGTTATAGCATTAAATCACAATGTACAGCACATTAAGGGCCGAGATCCTACATGAGGAGTAAGTGCACAGTGACTCCTGTTGTTGACTTAACAATTTGACACTCTTGTTTATGGCATCAGTAATCTCCCTAGGCTCCAGTCATGAGCTGCCAAGGCTATGGAAGCATTTTGAGTTCACCGACTCTGAAGAGAAATGCAAATTGAGATAGCTATGAGATACCCCTATATATATACCTGTTAGAGTGGCCAAAGCCCAGAACACAGGCAGAAACTAATGTTTCTGGAAATGTCTCATTAGTTGCTCTCAGGAATGCAAAATGGTACATCTGCTTTGAAATACAGTTTGGTAATTTTGCACAAAACCAAACTTAAAAGGGGTCTTCAAAAATTTCAGGGAAATGCAAGTTATGAGAAAAATCAGTAGAGATCAAGTCTCTGGGGCAAGCTATGCAGACTGATTCCACTATGACCACAGGAGTCCTGTACATGTAACTTCACCTCTCTGAGTCTGCTTCCTTACAAAGCAAATGGAGCTAATAATAGTGACTTTGTAAAAATTATCACAAGAATTCACTAATTTAAGATTTATGTCTTAAAAACTCAGGAAATAGGTGCTCTTATGAGCTAATGCTCCAGAGTGTTACCAAGGCAAGTTTCTACAACAACACAGATGGACAATCACCATAGTTACTATTTTTATTCCCCGAGACTCAAATTGCTTCATCCTTGTCTTGCTGTTGTAGACTCCTCCCTTAATCATGTGTCGCATGGTAATTCCATTTCTTAGAGATGCATCTGTGTACAGTCTTGGCTGAAACCCTTCAACGCTCTACAGCTGTTATTCCTCTGTCCTACACCCACACTATTTTGGGCTTCTTAGAATGTTCCACCAAACTCTCCAGGCATTTCTGTCATCTGGCTTCTCCCAGGAGGTCGGCCTTAAGGGAGCTGTATTTTCTGGTTGGCCAGAGGCTGTCCTGGATGATACCAGCCTGCCTCACAGTGCCCCATATCCGGTGTCTAGATGCCGATAGGCTGCT